CGTGAATGCAGCTTTTTATTGGTCAACTGGTTACCACTCCTCGACAGAGCAAAAAATATACTAACGTGAACCAGGTCGACGGCTTAGCTTTTGCTTTGATTGCTCCCAAACGTAAGACGCGCAAAAATCTCCACGCTGGTCCAGGAGTAGCAATATACACAGCCACAGGCTCGCGGGCTTGCACTGCAAGTTGCTGTTCCTGGTTTCTCTGCCCCATCCGTCCAAGCTCAGCTGCGCATGAGCACGTCCATTTCTTTTAAACAGGAGATGGTGACCACGAAGGTGCAAAGCAAGTAGGAGCCTCTAGTGACCAGTGGTCAGCCGAACAGAGAGCTCTTGTCGCCGCGACCGTGACTTGTGCTCCCATGCTTCCCTACCGCGTTTCAAATCTACTGACCTTGGATAGGTTTCTGTGCGTAATAAGGTCAATGAGATTCTCTTCCAAATAGAGCTTCATAGCTTGCTCAAATGTTTGGAGAGAGTTAGCCCGGGGTCTGGCAAGGCAATTGTGGAGGAGGCTCTTAGGAGCAAAGAAAAGAAGAGTGGTGTCACAGGAAAGGCGTCTGCAGCTACTTGATGGATGGTCATCGGTATCTTGGGTTATCCTTATGGATTGACTTGTCTTCGTGGCTTTGGTGGTGCGCGTGGTCTTCGGCCGAATTACTCTTGTTGGGGCTATCTTTGTGATGTTGCGGTGTGAGGGTTGGTTGTCGGATTACGTGCTTATAGGGTTGCATGCTCCGTGCATATGATTGGTTTGTATCGGTTTTCGCCTGGTTTTCCGTTTAATTAACTGGGCAATTCTATTTTGCTTAATTAATCGATGAGGCAAATCTTTTGCCTCCGTTTCGAAAAAAAAAATCTACAATCATCAGGCCAACTTCACGGCGCGACCCCAAACGGACGTCTGTTTTGTCCGGATTCTGTCCGTTTGGGCAGGGCGATGGAGTCGTGTCCGAGCCTGTTCTGGGATGCGGTGGTCGTGCCCCAGCGCGCGGCCGCATCCTTTACCCCATCTTGTCCGCGTCTATTTTAAAAAAAGCAACGTTTCAAATGCCAAGCCCTAGTTCACGGCCCAAGTTCATCACGCCGGCATCAGCCAACGGCCTACACGTCCATCGCCGGCATCAGCCAGCGGGCGGCAACACAGCCAGCCTCCAAAATGAATGGTTGTCCTCGCCGACAACACAGCCGGCCTTCAAAATAAATGTTTTTCTCACCGCCACACAGCCAGCGGCCCAGCGGGCGGGCGGCACCCATGCCAGCCTCCAAAAAAGAACGTCACGGCCGATCGGACAACCTAGTTCAGGCCATCGGCGTCGAGCATCTCCTTCTGCCTGGCCTCGAACCAGGCCCTCGTCTTCTCGCTCATCTTCGACAAGTCCACGTTCATGATCGCAAGGGCCACCTCCTTCGCTTTGGTGGCGGCATTGGTGGCCTCGATGTTGAGCTGCCTTTGCCTGGCCTTGATGTTGTCGGCCTCGAGGTCGAGCTGCCTTTGCCGGGCCGCCTCCTCCATGTCGATCTTCCTTCTCTTGGTCGTCTCCTCCATCTCAAGCTTCTTCCTTTGAAGCTCTAGGTATTGCTTCATTTGCTCGTCCTTGCTTTGCCGCTTCTTCTCGTCCCTCACATCCTTTTGCGACATCATGCCATGCAAAGTGTCATGCAATGTCATGGATGAGGCATCACGTATGTCGTCAACCTTGGAGTTGGTCTTGCCCCTCGGCCTCTTCAACGCCTCGCCATTTCCACCTCCGGCGAACATGGCCGTCTTCAGGCCTCTCTTCCTTTGGAGTTCACGGTATTGGTCCTTGAACTTTGGGCAATTGTTGATCATAGTCCAACAGTGCGTAAGAGTGAACGGCTTGTCATTGTGCCGGGCCTTGAATGCCTCCAAAGATTGAAATGCCTACACCACATGATCAACAACAAGTAAACATGCAAACATGTACAAGGCCGAAATCTCATGGCCGTAGCAAGGAAAGGGCTAGGAAGAGGAGAGCATACCAAGTCCCCAACGCCGAGACCACTCACGGGCCGTGCTTCAACGCTCTCAAATGCGGCTTGATACTTGTTGCACTCTTGTTGGATGAACAACCATCTCTTTTGAATCGAGCCAATGCCACGCTTGCTTTCAAATTGGTAGGGCTCAAAGAACTTCCTTTCATGGAATGTTTTGTGGACTCTCGTCCAAAAAACAATACCCTTTTGTTGTGCGCCAGTCCTTGGATCTTGGCTAATCTCCATCCAAGCTTGGCAAATCAACTTGTCCTCATCTTGTGTGTATGAACCCGTGCGAATGCTCTTCCTCTTCTTTTGTGCTTCCGCTCTTTGTGTCAGCTCGTCGATGAACAATGGCTCGCCACTAATGTCAACGTCATTGCTTTCTTCTTCATCACCATCACCTTCGACATAGATGTCATCGTCTTCATGCCACGAGTCACCATGGTCGTAGTCAGCACGGTCGTCGGCCTCTTCATCGGCAGTGAACTGGCCGCAGCCATCCTGACTTTGGGTCTCCTCGGGGTCGTAGACAGGGACGTGCCCACCCTCGTAGATCACTTCCTCCATGAACTGGTCATAGTAGGGGTCGTCAACCAGTGGCGTTGGTGCTGGCATTCCGTCAAACAAGACGCGGGGGGACGACATGATGCCGGTAAACGGCGGTCGTGCTTGCTTTCTTTGCATCTCAACGAACGGTCGGCCGCCGCTGTTGGACCCAGGGGTGACGTTGAGGTCGATGACGGCCGAGGGGCGCGGTGTGGACGACGCGAACATGCCAACGTCCGGCGACCCCCCGAAACGGGTCTGGCCATCGTGCTTTGGTGGAGGAAAGCCGGGCGACAAGGGCGTGGTCCGCGACTGGCAGTGCGGAGGCCGAGCGACCGACGACCCTGTGCTTGCCGGACCGACGGCCCCTCCAGAGAAACCGGCCGGACGACAAATGCCAGCCATGAGAAGGGCGTGCGCTTTGCTGACGATGGCCTCCTTCTCATCGACCTCGGCCTTGTGCCGCGCGGCCTCAATCGCAGCGCGGTCGGCCGCTCTCTTGGCCGCGGCGATGTTGTTCTTGGCGACCGCCCTCCGGTCCCTCCTCTTCGCCGACTCCGCATCCAACTTGGCAATCTCCTCCGGCGTGCACTCCGACCGCGGCTTCCTTGGCGCCTTGCCCTTCTTCTTCTTCTTGGCCATTCCGGGCGGGTCGACGGCCGGGCCGCCGGAGTTCGGCTGGGCGTCGGCCATGGACGGGGAGGGAGCGGGACGGGCGGGACGTAGGAGGGTTTGGAGGGAGGGGGGGTGGCGCCAAAGGGGCCACGGGGAGGTTTTTGTTTGTGTCACCGACAGGCGAGCCAGGGGCGGACACGCGCATGCGTCCCGCCCGTCCGCGCGCTGTCCGTTTCATCCCAAAACCGGCACAAACTTGGGCCGCGGATGGGTCGAAAGCGGACACAAAACAGACAAAAGTCCGTTTGCTTCCGCGCGCTGAGCCGTCCGGTTTGTCCGTTTTACTCCAAACGGACGGAGCCGGACAGGATAGAGTCGCGCGGTGGAGTTGGCCTCATACCATGCGTGGTGATGCTTGTATGCGCAATGAAATCGCTTAGTTGTTTGCACTGCAATGGGGATAGGGAATGCAGTAAGGCTTTTCCCTTATGTTCGTTTTCTTTCTTTTTTTTTTTTGTAATACTCCCTCCTTCTTTATCCATTTTGACGACAAGTATTTTCGGATGGAGGGAGTACTCAATTAACACCCTGGCCTTTTCGAGGTTCTCGAAAAAAGATAAAAAAACTCATGCCGATGGCAGTCAAAGACATGCAGATTACTGTCGCAGCCGCTCCTGACCAGGCCCTAACATACGGAGGGAACAATGGAAGTGGAGACACCAGACACGTCCAATGACCCTGGCCGTAAAAACAGCATGGAATGGCAATTGACAGTGCCGCATGTCCATGCCAACAATCATGAGGTTTCCCCCCTGATCATGAGATCCCCAATACCTTACCTTCTGATAAAGATGGAAGCAGCTCACCAGCTTGTCCGTTGCCCCTCCAAGTATCACAGACAGCCAACCCCCTCCAACTGCATCCCCGGCCACCACCACCATTATTCAGAGAGGGGATCATGGCCAAGCTGGACAAGCATAATGCCGCGGCCTCCACTTTTGGATTTCATGGTCCTGCCTGCCTGTGGTATGCTATGGTGGTCAAAGGGAAAGTTCCTGCTCCTTGGCACAGTCCATCCATCTGTCCACAGCTTGCTTTCTTGCCATTCTCGCTGTTTGCTTGGGGTGTTTTGCCTTTTGTTAACTGTACCACCCAACCCAAGCATGGCTGATGCTCATCATTACCAGCGTATAAACGATCAAAAAATGCCCGCTTTTGGTTCGGCCTGCGCACCCTGTCCGTCTTGCCACTTTCAGAACGCTTCTCTTTCATCCAAATGGATGTCAAAGAATCTCTCTTCTCAAAAACTGGATGCTCCCAAACAAGACATGGTGTCTTTTTTTTACTGCAAATAGGCAAGCAAAACAATGGCCGAGACCCTGACCTCACAGATCATTGCCATATGCAACGCACCAAACAGGCAAGAACAGCGACAAAAGGGAAGGAGCAGAGGAACATGGAGAGCAAAATGGGGTTGGTGACCAACCAAACATGAATAATTTCTAAACAAAATCAACATGCCGACGAAAGAGAATCCATGGATACCATGTACAAGACAGGTTTTTTTTACAGATCAGCAACACTTCTTCGGCCCCTCCAAGATGTCAACAAACCATCACTATCTCAACATTTCCCCACCTCCTGATCCCAGCTAGGGGTATCTCATTCATAGAACAAGCCCACTTTGGTTTCAAGTAAACACATACAAATCCGACCCCCAAAAAACAGCAAGCCAACAAATTAAAGAACCCGACACAAAACGGCCATCTCCTATCATGCGACATGTTCAAATGGTGGTGGTATGGACCTGGTTGGCGATTGTATCAGCTGGAGCCTCAGGCGGAGGCTTCGGTGGAGCTCTTCACCTTGAATCGGCACAGCAGCTTCTTCTTCTTCGATGTCGGGTTGTTGACGATGAGCACGACCTTGCCAGGCTCGCCCGCTTTGAAGCTACCCTTCATGATTGGCTCCTCGTTGGCGGGCACCTTCCTCGTCTTCTGCACGATGACAGTGTAGCCGCCCTCTGCGTCCGGGGTGAACTCCACGCCGTAGCTCACCTCCCATCCAAGCACACGGAGCTCCCACACGACCGTGGAGTTCTACAATGATAGCACATTGACAAAATGAACTATTGAGTGTTTATTCTAGCATTGTAGTGTAAATTTGAGGACAGAAGCAGGAACCAACCTCAGTAGCAGGAATCTCAACAGTTTCTTTGGAAGAAGGTTTGACAGTGAGCTCGGTCACGCCATCAGAAGTGGAGAATTCAGTATCATCCTCTTTGTAGAGGCCGCCAAATTGGACAGGGACCTGCTCCGGCGCGATGTATCTGCATCAGATTAGTGAAGGCAAACAACATGTAAGAACATGGTAAGAAAGTATGACTGTTAAACGAGAAAAGAAGACTTGCAGAGATTATCATGTGCAAACCTGAATAGGGTCTCGGCGGTCTTGGCTGGGCTGCAAAACGTGAATTTGCTCTTGGTGCGCTGTGTGAGGAACGGGCTCATCATCTTGTTTGCCGCGAGATACCACCATGGCACATTGATGAACACCTGCACATGGTCGAACAAATTGATCCTAATTCAGTTCACGCAATTCATCATATATCCAATTCACTCCAGTCTCATAACAAGCACATACCATATTCAATAGTAAAAGACATAATTCAAACAAGAGAGGATGAAATGATGCCACCATCTCAGCTTACTTGCACCACTAATCCACCTTGTCTAGTTAGATTACTGAGCTACAAGTGCTATAACAAAGACATTTATCAATTTCCCCTAAGGATATAGTAGTCATGCCAGCATACATACATCAGATGAATTCAGTTGAACCTACTACAACGTCATGTTCATCAGATGAATTCATCATATAATGAAGTCGCTCCAGTTCGTAATAAGCAAATACCATTTTCAATAGCAAGGAACATAACTCAAACAAGAAAACTATAGGTGAAATGGTGCCACTATGTCATCCTACTTGCACCACCAATCCACCATATATAGTTAGATTATTGTGCTACGGGTGCTATAAGAATGACACCAGTCAAATTTCCCACAGGACAAATCACAGCATTACACTAGCTACATCAGACGAATTCAGTTGAACCCACTACAAACACAAAAAATCGCTGCCTAATAAAGCAAATAAATGCATAATCCCTGTGCTGATGTTACCGAATTTTGGAATAAAAGTTAGGACACGATGCCACAAAAGGAAGAAAGAAGTTTAGTACCTTCTTGGCGATGAACTCAGGGTAGTTGTCCTGGAGCAGCGCGAGCGCCTGGCGAGTGACGGCGCGGTGCTTGCCGAGCATGGGTGGCGAGTTCTTGAGGTCGGTGACCTGCACCATGGAGCAGATGCCGCTGGGCGAGAAGTCGAGCTGCTCCCGGATGCCGCGCTCGAGGAGCTGGATGCGCCACTTGAGGAAGCGCTCCCGCTTCTCGTCGTCGCCGAAGGCCTTCTCATAGAGGTCCTTGTCCTGGAACTCGCTGTAGACGTTGTAGCAGACGGGGTGGCCCTCGCGGTCGGCGCCGCGGTAGAACACCACGTTCTCCAGCTCCGGCACTCCGAGGTCGGCGCCGAGGAGCGCGTCGATGCCGAAGCTCTTGCGCCACAGCACGGCCGCCTTGAGCATCGCCATGGCCTCCTTGACCTTGAACTCGCGCGCGCGGAGGAACTTGAGGAGCACCGTGTCCGTGCGCTCGTCGCCGCCCACCAGCGGCACGCCCCAGATCAGCTCCTCCTTCGGCTCGGCAGCGGGCGCTGCCTCCGGCTCCGACGCGGCGGGGACGGCGGTCTCCTCGATGGCCTCCACGGTTTTGGTGCCTTCCTCCTCGGCCACCACGACGGTTTTCTCCTCCGGCTTGGCCTCCTCGGCCGTCACCTCCGCCTTGGGCTCCTCCGCGGCAGCCACCGCCGCCGGTGCCTCCGCCTTGGGCTCCTCCACGACAGCCACCGCCGCCGGTGCCTCGGCCTTGGGCTCCTCCTGGTCCGGCGCCTCCGCCTTGGACTCCTCCTTGGCAGGCTCCTCGGCCTTGGGCTCCTCCTGGGTCGGCGCCTCCGCCTTGGGCTCCTCCGGTGCGGGGGCCTCGGCCTTGGGCTCGCTGCTCTCGGCCGCCACATCGCTCTTGGCTGGCTCGTCGGTCTTGGCAGGCTCCTCGGCCGCCGGAGCGGGCGGGGGCGGGGGCGGGGGCAGGTCGAACTCCCCGCTGGCGAGCGCGGCGGCGACAAGCTCCTTGAGCTGGGCGAGGGCCTTCTGCTCGGGGTCGGCGAGGTCGGCGACGAGGTTGCTCTCCTCCTTGAAGGAGGCGGTGCTGCCCTCGATCACCGCCGCCTCGTCGGCGCCGGCCTCCGCCACCGCCTCCTCCATCTTCTTCTCCTCCTCCTCCTCCTCCTTGGCCGCGGCCGCCGCCTCGTCCACCTTCTCCACCTCGACGGCCTTGTCCTCCGCCTTGGTCTCCGGCTCCGGCTCCGTCACGGCCACCTCCGCCACCGCCGCCGCCGCAGCGGCCTCCTGCTTGGTCTCCTCGGCCATGATACTACCCGACACGGCTGCAGCTGGAACGGGATGGAAGTGTGCGCGTGCAGGCGGTGGGAGCTAGGAGCGCGTGCGCTAGAGAGAAGAATCTGTGGGGAGAGGGAGGGAGGGAGGCGAGAGATTTGTAGGGAGAGGGAGGGCTGGCTGGTGTTTGCTTTGCTGGAAGCATGCGCGACGCAGAGCCAGCACAGCAGAGCGAGCAGGGCCCTCGCGCAGGAGGCGCCTAGGTAGAGTAGACCGCTGCCGTTGGGTCCACCCACTCCCCACTCCCCACTCCCCGCAGGAGGCGCCTAGGTTGTTTTCGTAGGTGTAGTATTATTGCTTCGCGTGACACCAACCTTTTTGCTCTGCTGCTTTCGCCCCCTCTCTCTTCCTTTTCTTTGCCTTCTTCTCGGAAGAAAGTCAAGAACAGTGAGGACGGACAGCTGCCATTTTCTTCTACGCCATCGCCGAGGTTTTGTTTTGACGGCGCTGCAAGAAACCAGTGGAATAAATGCTACTGGGGTCTGTAATTTTATTAGAAATCTCTAAACTTTATGCTAAGCCGCCCCGGTTCATGTACGCCAAGCAAGCATCCACTGTCAGATTGCCGTCTCTAATTAGTAGAGATCGCTGTCATGTCACACGGGCTGGCTGACTGAGTGACATGACAACACTTGCTCTGCTCTGGAAAGCATGCGGAGCAGCAGCTAAATCGGCCCGTCGTTATTAGCGCGCCTAACCAATCGGATTACCTGTGCGTTGGAAGATATGGGCTAGTACAGCTTTGAAACTTGCGGCCGGTGATAGCGACCGCGGGGAATATCTGTCCAATGCTATACTTAAACTTTCTGTTTGGCTTAAACAGTCTTCCATTGTTATCCTTAAACGAGCCACGAAATGTGTGCTGCCCCGTTTCTGGATACACATGCTCGCCGTTTAGCGGACGGCAAACCCAAAGCGGGCACGCTTCCTACGAAACCGTGTAGAAGGTTGTTCGGCAGTCATGGGTTCATCTTCATCCGGGCAAAGAGCAAGTCGTGGTCTCTCGTTTTCTGTCGTCTTCGATCCATCTTGAAGCAAAAGAGAAATGGCGTGTGTCCTGCAACACCATCTAATTGCACGTCATTAATCACGGTTTATTCACCTGGTTTGGGTGGCTTGGTAGCCAGTCACTTGTGGTGCGTGAGTTGTGTCGTGGTTTTGTTGACTGATCTGTTTGCGAGTCTGATTTATTTGTGGATTGTGGCTGCGTGCATACGTTGATGCCCTTTTTACAAAACGTGGTGAAGACATTATTTCAATCTTTTATCTTATGACTCGTGTGTGTTGGCTGACTAAGGGCATTTCCAACGGCAACCGGCAAAAAATCTTCCGCATCTGTTCACGGACATGGATGCGGGAGGCAGTCATACAACACTAGTCGCACATATTTTCACAATAATTCAAACTAATCGGACGAAATACATGGAAACACGATGAATTTTGATATAAACACGACAGAATTCATTGAAAGTAGGATAATTTATACATAAAACAGGACGATATTTCGTCCGGTGGACTAAAACCTAAAACTAAAATCCTAAACTATCACACACTTCACGGTGACCTCGTAGCCGATACCAGGCTAATTGACTGCTCCTCCTCTGTCATCGTCGCCCGACCTGCTGTCGAAGTCGTCGGAATCGGGCTTGGGGCGGCAGAAGGTGGGATTCGCCCCAAGAGTAGAGGATGATGCACTACAGTAGAGATAAATATTTCCTTTAGTTAAGAATTAAGGTTATCAATCCAGCAGGAGAACCACGCAACAACTCCTTAGCAGTACCTACACATAAAATAACAAATACTTGCACCAAACGCAAACAATGGGTTGTCAATCCCTTGCCGGTTAATTGCAAAGATCAAATCTCGTACTGATAGATAGATAGATAAAAACAAGAAATAAATTAAATTAAATTAAAGTGCAACAATATATTTTTGGATTTTAATATATGATTTAGATATACCCGGGGGCTATAGTTTTCACTAAAGGTTTCTCTCTTGAGGATATCATACGGTGGGTAAATAAGTTATTGTTGGCCAATTGATAGAAAAGTAAATAATCATGATGATATCTAAGGCAATGATCATGTATATAGACATCACGTCCAAGATAAGCAGACGACTCCTGCCTGCATTTACTACTATTACTCCACACATCGACCGCTATCTAGCATGAATCTAGAGTATTAAGTTCATAAAGAATGGAGTAACGCCTTAAGCAAGATGACATGATGTAGACAAAGTAAACTCAATCAGTATGAATAAACTCAGTCATTTTATCCTTAATGACAACGATACAAATACGTGTCATGTCTCCTTTTGTCACTAGAATTGAGCACCGCAAGATCAAACCCATTACAAAGCACCTCTCTCATTGCAAGAAAAATCAATCCGGTTGTCCAAACCAAAGCAATAGATCGGAGAGAAATGCAAAGCGATAGGAATCATGCATAAAAGAGTTCAGAGAAGACTCAAATAATAATCATAGATAATCTGATCATAAACTCACAATTCATCGTATCCCAACAAACACGCCGCAAAAAGGACTACATCAAATAGATCTCCAAGAACATTAATGAGAATATTGTATTGAAGATCAAAAGGAGAGAAGAGGCCATCTAGCAACTAGTTATGGACCCATAGGTATGTGGTAAAATACTCACACATCATCGGAAGGGTAGGAAGGTTGACGTGGAGCCCCTCTGTGGTTGATTTACCCTGCAGCAAAGTGCCGGAAAAGGCCCCAAAATGGGATCTTGAGAGAACAGAAGTTTGCGGTGGCAGAAAAAGTGTTTCGGGGGGCTCCCTATTAGTTTCCCGGTTTTAGATAATTTATAGAGCTAGAATTAGGTCAAACGGGGGAACGAGGGGCCGACGAGGTACCAGGGCGCGCTCTGGTGCCTCGTGGCCCACTCCATCTTCTGGCCCTCTCCCGAACCTTCCAGGGTCTCTTATATCCAGAAAAAGTCATCAAAAAGTTTCGTGGCAATTGGACTTTGTTTGGTACTGATTTTCTGAAAAACCAAAAACAGGCAAAAAACAACAACTGGCACTTGGCACTAAGTTAATAGGTTAGTCCCAAAAAATAATATATAATGGCATATAAAACATCCAAGATTGATACTATATTAGCATGGAACAATCAAAAATTACAGATACGTTGAAGACGTGTCACGTCGCGGCAGGCCTTTCCGGCGGCCGTCTGACGCTCGTGGATGATCCTCTCCGCCTCGTCCTATGCCATGCACGGTGCGGTCGCCGCCACCAAGGACATTGGCTGGGGGAGAGGGCGGCGGTTGTTGAAGGCGTCGTCTCTGGCTACGGGGATCTCGGCGAGGGACCATTCCTCGTTGTACATAGCCATCTCCCCGTCGAGGTGGCAGAGACGGCGCTTGGCCGTCTCCGACGTCTTCATGGAGCGGTCTAGGGCCCAGGCATACGCCAGGTTTGGATCCGTTGCGATGTGTGTCAGCGGGACTTCAGATTCCGCGGACTGGGACAGTGCGCGACGTTGCGCCTGTCCCGCCGGCGCTGCTCCTGGTCGGCGTACTCCTATGTTTTCATGGCGCTCTAGGGCGATGACAATGACGAGGAGGAGCCGCCATAGAGGTAGTGTGAAATGTACCCGCGCGCCTTGGCAGGGGGCGATGGCGAGCGGCGCTTTTCCTTGACGACTCGGCGAGGAGGCAGCGAGTGGTGCTCCACCTTCACGCGGCTCTTCCTTCACGGCATGCCAGGGCGGCGAGAAGAGCCGCTCTTCCTTGATGCGGCGTCGTCCAATTTGGACGCCGCTGCTGCACGATGGCGGAGAGCGTGGAAGGGATGCTGGCTCCAACTTCACGGGAAGGAGCGCCCCTGGTGGCAGATGTCGGTGTCAAAACCTGAAAGCACAAGTGCACCCTGGGTGGTTTTGGTAATTAATGTCAACATATCTCTTGTTGGACTAACACTTTTACCTAGTATGTTTCAGATAAGTTCAACAATGAAGTGGCATGGACTAGAGGATGTGGAACGCCTTTGAATGCTAAGGACAAAGGATTGGCTCAAGCTCAAAGCACAAGACTCTACATTTTCTATTTTCATGATCCAAGATCACATTGAGTCTATAGGAAAAGCCAATACTATCAAGAGGGGATGAGGTGTTGCTTAATGGCTTGCTTGCTCAAAGTGCTTAGTGATATGCTCCAAAGCCCTCAACTACATTCTCACATCCACATATGACCTAAACCAAAAGTCCAACAGGGCCCCACCGATTCTTTCTATCCGGCGCCACCGAGTTCAGATGTCATAGCCACTGCCACAAACCCTAGTCAATTCGGTCTCACCGAGATGGGATTGTAATCTCTCTGTATGTATCTATTACCAAAATCGGTCTCACCGAGTTTGTGTAATCGGTCCTATCGAGATTACAATGCAAACTCTTTGTTCCTCTTCGTAACATTTCGGTCCAAGCGAGATGAGCAAATCGGTCCCACCGAGTTTGCCTGACCAACTCTCTGGTTAGCTAATTACCAAAATCGGTCTCACCGAGTTTGAGTAGTCGGTCTCACCGAAATTACGTTATGCCCTAACCCTAACCATATCGGTCCTAACGAGTTGCATGTCGGTCCCACCGGAAATCCTAACGGTCACATTATTTGCTAAATCGGTCCGACCGAGTTTGACGATTCGGTCCCACTGAGATTGGCAAGTTGTGTGTAACGGTAAGATTTTGTGTGAAGGCTATATATACACCTCCACCCACTCTTCATTCGTGGAGAGAGCCATCAGAACGTGCCTACACTTCCAACATACATTTTCTGAGAGAGAACCACCTACACTTGTGTTGAGGCCAAGATATTCCATTCCTACCTTATGAATCTTGATCTCTAGCCTTCCCCAAGTTGCTTTACACTCAAATCTTCTTTCCACCAAATCCAAATCCTGTGTGAGAGAGTCGAGTGTTGGGGAGACTATCATTTGAAGCACAAGAGCAA